ACAGAGAGAGAGAGAGAGAGAGAGAGAGAGAGAGAGAGAGAGAGAGAGAGAGAGAGAGAGTCCAGCTTTTCGTTTTTCTTGGGAAAAATTCCTTTCTTATTGTGGGTGTAGCCGCAACAGGTCCCCTAGTGTCTTTTCTTGGGAAAAATTCCTTTTTTATTGTGGGCGTAGCCGCAACAGGTCCCCTAGTGTCTTTGAACCACCACTATGCACCCAATGCAAATATAAATATTTGCCGCTACTTTCAGGGTTCGAGCTGCCGGACCAAAATGGCGGGCACCAAATCACGGTTGTGCTGGTTCTTCTTCTTTTGGTGCACAGCACTGTCGGGGTTTAGGAAGAACATCGGCAAACGTGATTTGGTGCCGACATGAAACACCTTGATCTTGCTCTCACTCTGTGCATCTCTACGCTCCTGCCTTTTTCAATCAGCACAATTGGTGAGGCAGCTGTGTTGGTATCTTCCTGCTTCACTGTAACACTTGGCTAATGAGAAAAAGTACCGAATGAATTGTTCTGTAGAATCGTCATAATTCACTCACCACTTTTCACATTTGGCGAGTGGTGCAGGAAAAGGAAGGAAAAAAGAAAGAATGCCTCAGAGGAGGCAATGGGAGCTGATAACCTTGGAATCGTTAATCAATGGCGTGAGGCACAAGTGCTTCTCTTTCATTCTTTTCTTTTCTCGATATCGGTGTGCGTCGTAATTTTGTTGCCTCCATCAGGATTTGAAATCGTAGTATGTTCATCAACGGTCACCTGTGTCTACCCTGCAGCCTGGTACAGATTCTAAACCAAACTGCAGCAGGCGTTTTAACCACTGTGAGGGCTGTCGCCGCTTACATTATTGTATTCATTCGAACGCATGACCTGTTTATCGATAGTTACAAGTTCTGATGGAACTGAACCGCAGCAGTTCGGTTCAGACCTGACGGGTGTAATCTCACATTATACCTTGCTTGTGGCAGACTCATGCGTTTCAGTCAGCCACAAGGCTCTGCCGTGTGTACCATTCATCCACAAAGTCGGGCACAGCGTGAGGTTCAAGTTCTAATGGAACTAGAGCAGGTGTCTCGTGCCCCTTACATTATTTTGTCTATGGAGCAGGATTTGAGCCCATGACCTGTTTATGGACAGTTATCTGCGTGTATCGCTCAACCACAGGGCAGACACAACGTGAGATACACAAGTTTTAACCTTACGTGTAGCAGGTGTTTTGACTTTTTAAGTTTTAACCTGTGAGGGTGCCGTTATTGCCTCTGCGATGTTTTGGATCCTTGGACCTTGATGCTTGGGTCGTGGAAAGTGACAAGATATGCCGATTCATAATGATACAGGGAATAGAAAGTGCAGAAAGTAAATAAACTGGCCCCTCATTGTCGATGTTTGTGTCACGGTGTCATCTTGGAGCATTTTGTTTTGTGGAGTCCACACTGCATCCTAATGCCATAATACAAAAATTTTCAGTCTACTGCTCCTGAATTTTTGTTGTTGTATTCAATTAGGATAGCATGTACAGGGAATAGAAAGTGCAGAAAGGAAACAAACTTGGACTTTCAGTGTAAACTGCTCCTGAATCAAGAAGGTCCATATTTTGTGGACTGGAAGTCTCCAACGAAAGAGGCAGGGAGCCAATGGAAGCATGTTAACATCAACTTCCAAGTGACGCTCTGCATGTAAAAGCAGATCTTGGTGGATCCGACTGGTCCTGAAAGAGGAGGGTGCACATATGTTTCACAGGCAGCCTTTTTTTTTTAAGAGGAAACAAAGCAGCTGTGGTTCGTACCCCCGTAGTGTCTGCTCTTTTTTCTTCTTCTGGGTTTCGCATGCCAGAGAGGTGCATTTACCCTCTGCAGCTCTTACGGTTGAATAGCTGCCAAAACCACAGCTTTTGGGGTACCCTATCTCTTCCCTCTTC